AACTGTGTGATTCCTGCTGTGACACAACCAAAGTATGTGTGTTTGGTTTTGGGAGGACTTCCTTTCATTTGAAGAGGAGTAAAGGCAGGGTAAGCAACATGCGTGTCCTTTTAGTCCATCCTACCGCACTGAGAGAAAGAAAACTACCAACTCCTCCACAGCCATGCAGGAAATGAAAATTAAGAGTGTGCAGCCCAGAAAGGCCTCCTAGGAGCTACTGATGGCTGCAGAGCCTCACACGCTCACAGGGCAGATCACAGCTTATTTTAATAAAGGAAGGCCCAAGCAGGGAAAATGGTTTTGCCCAGAAGATTTCACAAAACCTCACTGCAGCACAAATTGATTTTACAAAAGCACACATTCTGAATTATTCAAACCTTTTAAAAGTTCGTTTTTTTCTGCCCTAATACTTCAGTTTCTCTGAAGTACAGCATCTACTTTTTTATTTGCCTCTGTCACTCAGGGAAGAGCATCTCACCTTTTTGGAGCAGAATAAACATTTCATGTCCCAGATTCAGTTAACGCTTGCACCATAGGATATTCTGCAGACTACATCAAATGACCAACAGATATCCCACACACCTAGGGTACAATACATCCAGATTTCCAAGGACATTTTGCCAAGACTCCCAGGACTCTCTTCGTCTAATCTGAATTTGTGCATTTCTAATCCATATATCAGACAATTCTGCAGCATTCACAGTGAGGGATGTATCCACAGCAAATCCAACATAAACTGAATGCACTAGACTTGAGGGCAATCCAGCTTCCATACATATACATTTTGGAGGAAGCTTATCAATGTGTACTTCCCTACAAAAATCTGTCCTGGAAATGGGAGATGAGGTGCTATTTCCTCCTACTCTGTCCTCTATCTCCAGGAGCTGCTCACCTGTAAAAAGATGGAAGGGATTTCTTTGATCTGACCACATCACTGTTCTCCCTTGGACCAAACAACAAAAGCTCAGCATTGCTATTCATGGTTGTTCCCTTACTCCACAATTCTGCTTTATCACCAAGAACAAGAAATGGGGCTCAAGTTCTTCATGTGAAACTAAAATTGACAACTATGTCAAAACGTTACTTGCTTTTTTAAGAGACTGCCCTTTTCATTACTTTTTTACTTCACTGGAAAACAAACCACAAGTACTTACAAAACACAGATTAGGCACCGACACCCGCTTTAGTCTCCATACTGTTATTATTAACAAGTATCACTAACACGAAAGTTGCAAAAATACAGACTCTTTTCTACTTACTCTACACTACGGTAGAGATGAAAACTAAGCTGGTTAAATTCAATTATTATCCATTTCTGTTTTAGTTTCCCTTATAATGTCTGCTTTTCCTCACAAGTTCATACACCACAGCTGCATGTAAATCATTCTAACTTTTATAGCTTAAATTTCATCTAAATTTTGTCCCAAGCCATAAAATTCTAGATTATCCATGATATTCAAAAAGCCAAGAGAAACATCCATGGATTCTTAAACACTACACTCCTAAGATTTGTGAGAGGGGAAGGAAGTGGTGACCTCCTAGGATTTCCTGTGGATTCTATCATTTATTATAAAAGGCTGGGGATAATGTTGACAAGGTCAGGCAGCCTACGTGCCCTTCCTCTGAAGGAGACATTATAACTTGCTCTGAGGGGCACAAGCCAGGGAGATGAGAATTAGGCTCAGAAAAGCAAGTTCTATTCTATGGAGAGTTTTCCCCTGTGCTTTCTTGTGGTATTCTGTCATTTTCACCCTTTTAAAGCAGCATCAGAGGAGGAGGGCAGGGCCAACTTCCTTAGTGTCATGCATGCTCCTGATCTGCTACTGCACTAAGCAACCTGACTACCCAAACTTACCTGATACCTTGCTATAAATATTATTTAAGCCATTTGATTGGAGCAAAACTGCAGTATCTGAACTTTTATTCTCCTTTCCTACCCTAAAAGCCTGCCCACAAGAGGATGACCCTCCTTAAAGCAGAGCTTCTACCAAGCCAGCACATTACCAAAAACCAACGGGACAGGAACTCGGTCTCTCCAAGACCAGAAGGACACAGCAGTGCACAAGTCTGGCCCAGAATGAGTAATTACTTTCTTTAGGCTGTTTTTAAAATCCTATCATTAATACCTACATTAAAGAAAACAATACAGAAGTAGAAACTAAAGCCCATGATGATGAACTTCATAAAGGTATCGAGTTCTTCCCCCTCTTAAATTCCTGATCTTTGAGTATCTGATTTTATAACGTCAATGTTTCACTAATTCTGTACATTTTTGTTTCTAGATTGCTATGATTATTTTCACTAGGAGAAAATATGGGAAGGAATCAGAACTGTTTATCTAGAGGACTCTACAAACTTCAGTGCAAAAGCAAGATTCCCAAAAGACTTTTTCATCATCCTTGTAACAGTGCAGCCTAGCAGAGTTTGAACATTTTAATGGCTAGTGATGAAACACCACAAAACAATCAAAACCAGAACAAGGCTAATTGACTGTAAGATGGGCTGCTGTTTCAGTGGATTACCCCTTTGGCCCCAACCCCAAGTTTAAAATGCTTCAATCCTCAATTGCAGAGAGATTTAATTATTTCAGTAGTCACTGAAGGGCTGAATTCGCAATTCTGGAGAGTGATGTCCCCTATTAAGTGGCAAAGGAGGGGAAGAATGAGCAGGGACGCTGCAGATGAACACACCTTTCCATGCCTCAGTTCATCTAGACCTCCAGCAGCACCCACAGCTTGGCTTCTTGAGCAGAACCACCTGGAGCACCCATTGAATCCAGCCAGGTAAGGTGACCCAGAGGAAAAGATCCAGACACTTCCAGCCCGCAGGAAGACTGAACAGCCCAACAGCTACAAGACCTCTTTCCTAGTCCTGCTCAGGGGCTTTGCACCAACCAAAGCCAGCCCACCACCAAGGACTCAAGGCAGCCTCCCAGTTCCAAGAACTTTTCTCCAAAACCATCACTTTACTGATCACCCAGCTTAACAAATTTGGCAGTAGATCCTAAACTTGCTTGTCAGACACATGGGATCTTCTATAATTATACAAATTAAATAAGCACAATATCTTAAATTATATATTAATAAATATAATATTATAATAAATAATATATTAAATAAGCTTCAGACAGAAGCCTTTAATTGAAAAGTGAACTGTATATCATCAGGTTTACAGCCACCTTTGACTGACATTCATATAATTTGAGCTGCTCACAAGTTATCATTGATTACAGAAAGAAAATTTCCCCAAATACAAATCCATTAATACATAAGAACCTCAAAAGAGCAGTCTGGGAACCCAGCAACAGAGCACCAAAACCTGCACTGTTAGAGGAATGATATTTAAAATAGTCATTTTGGCCAAAGCATCCTTGCAAAGGTTACTATTTTATTTATTCCAACTTTTTCTGTTAAAAATGTGTCTTTATAAAAAGTAAAAAAAAATCTCACATGAAGCATTATTAACTGAAAGTGACAATGTATATGCACACCACTATTGGTTTCTGCTATAAATTTGTGTCTGGCTGGCAATTCACGTGCTTAGGAAGCAAGACATTCTCATCACACACTGCCACTTGGCAAGCCAGCTCCTAAAGTTAATAGAATCCACACAAACTTGGTAGATTTTAGTCTTCAAAGACATGTATGCCCAAAAGACAGAATACAAAACTGAGGGTACAGAAAGAATTACCCATTCAAAAGAAGGAATTCCTCAACATTTTTATATTCTTGTATATATGCCCTGTCAATTTTTATTGCTCCTCATGTTCCATGTCAGAATTGGTATGGACTGAGATGTAAAGCTCACAGAGTAAATCTAACTGTACAGTTATGGACTGAGATGTAAAGCTCACAGAGTAAGTCTAACTGTACAGTCTGCTCCCTGGGATGGCTGCTCTTTCCTCATCTGACTTCTTACCTGGCTGTGAAGTTACTGCACTTGAGCAACCACAGCTATTACAATCACAGCAGTCCTGGCAGTTAGGCATTTCGACACCGCTATTAATTGAGCTACATAACATTCCTACAATACAAGTAGTATTACACTCCTTTTCAGATACAAAAGAAAAGCACAGATAATGTATCTGTGCCCTGTTCCTTATCTACCTAGTGGGACAGCCAAAACCTAAGAGTTCTTATGCTACTCCTCTGTTCTAATCACTACATGCCAGAATAACTCTGTACATCCCTGGAAGTGTTCAAGGCCAGGTTGGATGGGGCTTTGAGCAACCTGGTCTAGTGGGAGGTGTCCCTGCCCATGGCAGGGGGGTTGGAACTAGATAATCTTTAAGATCCTTTCCAACACTAACTATCCTATGATTCTGTCACTTGATTTTGAAAATGCAATATATGTGACACTCTCAAAATAAGATCACCTCTGACCCAGTCATGTCTTGGTTAGAATTTAGAAAAAACTAATGTTGCACGTTCTAAGCATTTATACTGATAAAGCAGACATGATTTAAGTCTGACCATAAAAGCTAACCTTATAACATTAAGCGGTTCTTGTGCTGTCTGCAAAAATTTATGGCTTTATGTTCATGTAAAGTACTAGAAGGGGATAGTGAATTCTTTCTTATGTTTGTACAATCCCTGTTTCAAATCAGCAGCCCCCAAACAGGAGAGTTTGGTCTGGAAACACTGGAGTCCAGCAAAATGTGGGAATCTATTCTAGTTATGACTTTGCCGCCCATGCATTCTGGGTTTTTTTGGAGAAAAGCTGTATTAAATTTCTTGTACCAGTCCCAGTTTGGCTCCTTAGCAGTCAGACATGGCACGCTTTCCCTACCTGGTGACTATGCTTTAATGAGAGTTGAGATGTGGGCAGCATGCATATACGCATTTTATGTTTATGCTGAAATTCTGAATTTTGCATTATTCTTGACATGCGTCCATTCCGTTATTAATTCTATGTCCGCTAAAAGTAATGGAAGAAAATCCTGATAACATCTGCCTATCATGGAAATGTTGGCTCAGTTTCCATTACATACAGATTCTTACCTGTCAAGGAGAAGTTCCAGTACTGCCTTAGTAGAAGCAAAGGCCCTGAATGTTGAGAGGAAGATACTGATGTAGGTAAAATCATTATTCCCAAAAGCTGTCAGAAGGTTCTCCACAAGTTTTTCCAGAGTTCCAGCTTTAATTGTCCTGATCTTGCATGTTTCATACTGGCTGACTGTATGTTCCGGGGGTAACTGGTCCCCCTCAGCCTACAAAGTAAAAGCAAAAACAAAGCACAAAAATCAGACAGAAGCCAGATCCCTGACACAGCTTTCATGGTGAAACACAGATTAAGTTCCATCTTTTCACAGGAATAGTCCACCTTTATTTACTAAACAATTTTGTCAATTTTGGTGCTCCAAACAGCAAGTGCTGTATTAAATAACAGAGGTTTTTTATAAGTTCAACTTTAAGATAGTTCTCTGATGTGCTCCACAAATATGGTCTGACTGCTATCAAGTTATCTTATGATCCCATCATATATTATTATCTAAAGGAAAATCCATTACCCCACAAAGAATATTACTAGAGGGAACAACAGTACTAATTCAATGTCCCACTTAACTTCTGAATAAACATGAGAACTGACCACAACTTTAGCATCAGCCCTTGTGATTCCCTTGATGAAAATACCAACTTGGAGTTGCCTCATAGAACCTAAGGTCATGAATACATTCGAATGCGAAATATTTCATGATACTTTTGCAAGGAGGGTGTCAAAGTCATCCTGCAAACATGCCATTATAATTTTCTCTTACAGTTTCCGTTTGGCACAATATTTGTCGACAAAATTAGGGTTTGGTGTTGGGGGTGTGTGTGCTTGTTTTTAAAGTGCATTTGGTTTTAATGCTTACAGTCTGAAATAACTAGATACATTCCCTTAAATTCTGCCACTATTTAGAGGATAATTCAGAAAATTGTTTTTGTGACCAATTTAAATAATTATTTGTTAAATACGTGCGATAAAAAATAATTTGGGGGAGGGGGATTATAAATAGATTGCTCTTCTTGATGATTTTTAACAGAAAATTTCTCTCTACCTTTTGAGATGACTGTCTGTGGGAAGGAACATTCAGACCACTGAACTATACAGCAGCAGCACATAGTTCTCCTTCATCACATATCACCAGCACAAATAAAATGCTGGTAACAAACTGTCATTTTCCTTGAGAGAAAAAAATGGCTTGAGCCTGTTCAAATGTCTACAATCGTAAATGCAAAGAAAAATCCTGTCAAAAATCCCCAGACATCACTATGATTTATATAAATAAACAAACTATTGGAAGGTCATCTGAATAAATGAAATGAATTTCTGGAAGCACTGCAGGTTTACATCTGGTCAAACAGACTGTGAAACTACAGACTGGGTAACTTGGTCTTGTGTCATGAACTCCTTAATACCTTTTATAAATAGCCACGGTAATGCACAGTACAAAACCCACTGTTATCCCAAAGCAACCCCACAGGCAATGAAGGAAATTACACCTGGGTAACTTGCAAAATTTTGTTCCACGGGTCTTATGGCAGTTTTAAACGTTATATACCTGGCTTAAAGGTATATATAATTATACATGACACCATCATTACAGAAACACTAAAAGAATACAGCAGTAACAACATATGTCTCCTCCATTCAAATTTTCCCTAAGCAAAACTTGCTCGGAAGGAATATTAAATTTTCTTACTGACTTTTCATCTTCCCATTAAAACATAGTTTCGAAAATAACTAGTTACACAATACAACCGCTTTCAAATAGGGAAGAAAGTCTGCACTACTGTATTTATTACTTTTCTATCCAGCAGATTGCCCCACTCATGATGTATTGACTTACAGCCATATTCTACTCAGTGTGTATAAAAACCTCTCATTCACTGATGTGACTGTGACCCAAACAAGGGCAGAATCCACTTCCGAGACTGATACATGCACAAAATTTTCCATTAATTGCAACACTGCAACTTCCCCAAGACATCACGTTGGGAGAATGTTAAAAAACAGAAGCCAAATAAAAAAAAAACCCCAAAGCAAAACAAAAAACAACCCCAAGCCCCGAAAATCTAAAACTGAGTTTGTCAGCAAAACATTGAGCTGCTAGAAATGGTTTTAAGAGACTTTTAGGGACTGTTTGTATTTGTATTATTTTAGCAATCCTGCCTGCAAGTTTAAAAGGAAAAAGGACTTGGCAGACGAGCTCAATAACAGACTTTCAGAATAAGACATTGTGGGCTGAGTTAGCATGCTAACAGGAAACTGCTCAGTCTGGATTTAATCAAGAGGCCATCTCCTCACTGACATAACCAGGCTACCCAAAGGCAAAAGAGTTTTCATGTTTGCTTTTGTGTCGTCTGCTCAGAGGAATACTATATCTACTGCTATTAAAAGCTTTTTGCAAGTTCTGACAGTGGCACATAGTGATTACAGTTATGTGGTACCAATTAAAGCCACCAGAAGTTTTGCATTGTTTTGTGCATCAAAACAACAAAAAAGGCTCTCCAGCTCCTTCCATTTTTCTCCTTCAACAACGTGGCTAACAAAGATGCTAGAACTCAACATCTCAGGGCTTCAGTAAGACTTTCTTGGTCCTCTAGAAGATGAAAACTAAACAAACAGATATGCCATTTTATAGTCTAATTTTTAAAATGTTTTTTAAACAGTCTAACTTTGATTTTTGAGGTACCAGATTATAGCATTAATAATCTGCGAGTGTAACTGATGAGCAAATAGCTTCCTACAAGACAGACAGCATCTTTCAAAAGCAAATGTAGAAAGATTGAACTGAGGTATATTCTTGCAAGTCCTTATTTTTGGAGGTTGTGTAGGTACTGATCTAGTCTAACATCTTTAGTAACCCTCTGCAATGCTGTACCTTCAGAGGGGCCCACTCTCTTTTAAGGCGATCATCTTACAGCTATACAGCACAAAACAGTACCCACATACGCAGTTCTTGCTGAAACAGGAGAGCTCCACGCACACTAAAACACATCCAAGCCAAAAAAGTTCCTTCAAACACAAACTGACTCCAAAACCAGCCCAGTACTGAAGGAGCTATAATTCAATTCCAAGCTGGTTACAATTAAGGTCCTGACCTTGTCCCGTACAGGCTGGCTCCTGAATCCACACACAATCTCCCTGACTCACCAAGGCGTTGTGAAAGTGCAAGATAGCCACACACACAATTGCAGGATGAGGAAAAGATACCATTATCAACATAATATCCAAACATCTTCTCTCTGCAACAGCTACCAATACAGGGCTTGAGTAAGCGGGTCCTAAGTTACAAGCAGCTTGTTACCAGAACAGCACGTTACTAGGTTTGTAAAAGCAACGCTCCTTTATGAAGCTGGCAAGACATCTTGTGCAACCTTCAGTACCACCATCTCCAGTTCCCATCAGTCCTTCTCTGCAAGAACTGGCCGAGATATGCTGATCTCTTGCCATTTTGTCTACTGATGGCAAGAAAATAAAGCAAAACCTGCACATGCCCCAAAGTTGCCACGTATTTTACTCAGTTTGACAGCCAAAATACAGATATGGATCCACAGTCTCATGGGCCAAAGGTACAAATGCTACCTGTTAACCTTGAATGGGATTATAAATCATAATCCACCATCTCCTAAATTAATGATACATTTTAGCAAGAGGGAGTAGAGACCCAAGGTAAAAAAAATAGTTCAAATTCTGAACAGTACAAAAATAGGCTGCTACCCAGAGACATACGAAATGTCATTATTTCAGAAACATCACTGGAAACAATCGCTTTTACCCAAAAAAACACTGGTCTGTAGTTTTTTCCCAATGCAAATATTATCTGTTGAGATTCTGAAAGGGAGAATCGTGGAATGAAATCAACGTGATTGTTTTTCATTAGGCAGACAGGAAAAAGAATACTGAAAGAAAACAACTGGGAAGAACAATAATTACATGATGTATCAAAGATTCTTCACGCTTAGTCATTTAAAACATTACCACTTTTAGTAAAGACCTGTTTTGTTTAGAAATTCTGCAAAATAATTTTCAAGAGCACCTAACCAACTAGCGTCTCTTAAACTCCATTTTTACCGATTTTGACAGATTTTTAAATGCTGTTGACTTTCCTTTAAACTTACAGTTTTTCCAGATGGGGATTTTTCCACTCTAGCTATTTTTATTAGCTTTCTGGATGGACACCCTATGCTGGAATAAAAAACTGCCTAAAGTGCAGTAAGTTAGAAGTTCAATAAAAATAAGGTACTCTAATCGAGAATGGGTGTTTCATTTCACTGTTTGTATAAATGTGAATCAGCTTTAACATTCTGATAGTAGGAATGAGATAGGTTTTGCCCTTATTTTTTTGATACTGCTTTCTTACACACAGGCTCTCCAGCAAAATCCTTTAATATCTACACTCATCCTTGGCAGGGGTGGAAGGAAGGGGGCAAAAAAAAAATTAAAATAAAATCATGGAATGATTAAGCTTCAAAAGTTCCAAAAATACAAGCATCCATAACGCCAGTCTGCGAGAATTAAAATCTAAGGTATCCTTCATTTAACATGGAGTCACACATCACCTAAAGAAAGCAGCAAGACAGATGAAATAGAAAAGCTGCTTGAAGAATAACCTGATTCCATGGCAAAAACCAAACAGAACTTAATAATACGTCTTCAGGGTGCTATGTAAGACTCCAGTCAAGTATTTTTGTAAAGAACAACTGCAACGATATTAACAACTTATTTGATATTGTGTTTCCTTCCAACAAAAACCTTAATGAACTTTATAATTGAGCCTGCTACCCTTAAAAGGAAGAAAACAAGATTGTCCTGTACATGTATTGACAGATACAATCCACAGCAGCTGACAATCATGCTAAACTGACTCAAACTTACACACATTGTGCCGACTCCCCCTGTCTGCACCACATGACCATTAAAAAAACCCAACAAAACAACCCCGTGAAAAGTGGTAATTTTGCACTAACAATACCACGTGTAACAGTGCACACCAGAAAGAGCAGTAACCAGACTAATCGTATCAAATGAAATCACAAGCATTTCAAGTCTCATTAGGGTAGGCCCCCGGGTGCAGACATCCATCCTCTTCCAATCAGTTCTGCAGTGCTGGCAGTATTTAAGAGCCTCGCATCCCACCACTTTCCTCTCTGTCCTTGTCCTCTGCTCTGTACAACTGTCAGCCTAGAAAACAGCTTGCATGAGATAAGAGTCTGAATTTGA